GCTGGCTGAGGAATTCTGGGAGTTGAAGTCCACAAGTCTTAAAGTTGCCAAGGTTGGACACCCCTGCACTAAAGGTTCTTCAAGGTAAAAGAACTCTTTGGGACAAAATATTTTTGCCTTGTAGAGACCTTGATTGACATAACCATGATTGACATAACCTAAACCTAGTGTCAATAATAGAGAATATTGAAAAAATGTTTGTTACAAGAGCAGAGATTAATTGTGCACCAACCTGTCCGCTTCTTGAGCAGTTTGGAAAGACTGCACAATAATAGTAGCCTCAAATAGTAGTTTCCTTTTTCAGAAATAAGATGTGGACTTCAAGGTTAAAGCCTCAGAACTGGTTAACTTGTGCCAGAAAGATCTCCACTTTCCAATAAGAGTCTATCCCAGAGAAATGCTAACTCTCTCAATAAGCACTAGTCCATATTTATGGGAGGGAAGAAGTCACCGTTCTGGTGATGACAGTGTTGGAATGAGGGTTCCTAATGCGTGGTTATGGCTTGTCTGTCAAGCCATCTTTCCTTAGTTATTTTAAAAGTTATTTATCTCTGAAGACAAACTGCAGTTATACATTGTCATGCAGCTACTACAGGGATTTGCAATTGATGAAGCTTCTGAATTCTCTGTTTTTTAAGCACCTGGAAAGCACAGGACTAAAAAAACTGTCTAATCCCAAGTAAAATCAGTAATTGTCCTGTTGAATTGTACACAGGATTCGTCGTCAAGTGGTGAAGAGCAGAGTCATATCTTACAACACAAGATTTATTGATAAAAAGTACATCGCATCTGTTAGCAATTACCTTCGGTATATATGGCTAAGATATATTATCCAGGTTTCCTATATTCTGTGGGAGGATAAATAAAGGAGGGGGAAGGTTAAAACAAAAACTGTGGAAAGGAGCTTAGTCCAAACAAAGATCCTGAGCTGCCAACAGAAGGAACAATGGAGAGTAATAGTATATACATCATTTTCCTAGTTAAGAAACAGCATCATTCTTACTTGTAACATCATTAGAGCTGTAGGCACAAATTGCCTAAAGATGGGATTGGCTTCTTGCATATGTAGAATTATGCTTTAATACAGAGGTGAGACAATTGGTTGTTTTTTTTCATTAGAAATTTAGGAGAATGGTATAGGTAGTCCCTATGATGTGGCCTACCTGTATGCTGTAACAGCCATTACTACGGTAGCTCAGAATAGCTGTTGCATAGATAACATTTTGTTTCTATAATGGAGCAGAAATAAAAACTTTCAAAGAGCCCTTGACAGGTTGTGATCAAATGGAGATATTCAAGTACATGCTGAACAACTTTGCCATATCAGGGACACCTGCATGTGTTGGCCTTCATCTCAAACTTCCCAGCCAACCCGGGAATTGGACACTCAACTAGTTTGGAGGATGTCAGTTTCATGCATCTCTTTGTGGTGTAACCCAGAGTTTCCAATTCTTTTGGCTCATATCAAATATCTAGACCTTGTAGAGGCTACTTCAGAAGAATCAAGTAATAAATAAGAAGATAGCAGTGTCTTAGTGACTGAATTAGCTTTGCCATCAGTTCAAGGCACAACTGTTCCAACATGCATAGGCAGAAATAAAAGATATTCCATTAAGGAGTCCTCAAACCTAGCTAAGCCATCAGTTTCAGTACATACCGATTTCCGTTAACTGCAATCAGGATGAAGTAGCCCTTTATGGGCCAAGACTAACCCCCCAGCTTTTAAAATAACAAAGTCACAGGCAAACAGAGCCTTTGAAATGACTTCCTTAGCTTCCTTTATATAAAGTCATTGCATTACCTCTTCCTGCTTATTGTAAAGTTGAGTATAGTAGATCCAGTAAAGAAGAATGCAAAGTCTTAGTGCAAACATTGGTATTACAGTTCTTTAGATTTGTGAAAAGAGCAGCAGCTGCTCTCAATAGCTAGTCTCTGAGATTGATTGATGCCCCCCTCAAGCAATGTACTTTGCCTTTTGTTTTCCTTCCTTATCCAGAATGGTAGGAGTTATTTTCAAGGCTATATTGGAAGGTGGAATGACTTCTCCAAAAGCATTTGGTGAATGCCGAGGTGGACTTTTAAGACTTTCTTGAACATGCTGAAAAAGAGAGGCACAATCACAGGGAGTCCATCTTGCTTGAATGGGCAAGGATTTTGACCAGCAGGTGCTTCAAATGAAGAACACTGTTTGCAGTGGCCAGACCAGCAAAAGTTGCACTTGTGGGCAAGAGAAAGAATTTCCTCTGTCTATCCAGATTGTGCAAGGCCAACTCCTCTTGCAATTCTGCCACACTCAGGGCATCATTCTTGTCCTAGAATAGATATACAAACGATCATTTTAAAAACCTTAGGCCTTTCCTGTAAGAGCTATGCCACAATTTTGTATTTTTCTTCATTTGGGTGAGAATTAAGCTTAATGTATACTAGTGCTCCTTTTTTCACTTGAAATTATTAAGAAATTGCTACTGTTACATTTTGGTTGTATTCTTGCAAACCTTAAGAGATTTTTGAAGTACAGAAAATAGTCTAGGAAAGCTCATTGTGTCAGTCAAAGAAATCTTAAGAGTCACATGCAGTTCTATACTTGTAAGTTGTTCTTCCATCTATATCAGGAGTGTCAAACTGGCGGCCTGCGGGCTGGATGCGTCATGCATAGGCCATGCCCACACCAGCTCTGCGAAGGGGAAAAATATCAGAAAATGTCATGTGATGTCAACATGATGCAGTGAATTTGACACCCATGATCTATATCAAACTGCAGTTTTAGAATGCCACGTGAAAGATAGCAAGAGACTCACCTGTTTGTTAGCTAAGATTATCAAAGGCAACTGAGGATCCTCAGCTAACAGGTAGTGGAGCTGCTGCCGAGCAATATGAAGGCGTGGGCCATCGGCAGAGTCTACAACAAACACCAAAATGTGGGCTTTGCTCAGATATTGGTTCCAATAGAAGCGTAGATTCTGGCTCCCACCAACTAGTATAACAAAGAGAAAAAAATACAAGTTGACTGAATAGCATTTTTTCTCATTCTGATGTCCTCCAGTGCTTAATTGTAGTGCCTACTTCTGAGGAACAAATCCTTAGAAAATATTTCTTTACAGCACATCACAAGCATCTTTTTCACATGCCTGAAATGCAGATGTAGATTTTAATAAGGGAGAATTTTCTCTTATTACGTATAAATACCTATTATAGTCTCCCATGCATTGTTCAGGCCAAAAATACAAAAATTGACAAGTCATATGAGATTCCCAGCACTGAAGAAATTAATTCAGGAGAAGGGTTTCAAGAGTTTTCCCTTCAATATGATATTAGATTTTAAAAAAAAACTATGTTAACATAAGTCAGTTTTTAAAAAGTTTGTTATTTGGATATTAGGTTTTTTTAGACTTAGTTTATGGTGTAAACAAACTGACTTACATAGATAAAAGTTAAGTGTGGTTTCTGTGAACAAAGCCAGTGACTGCTATCATAAAGGGAAAGAACTTCCGGACCCATCTTTCCTGCACTAGTGCCAGATTAATATTCTTTATCTTGCCACACATGCAGTATGTTGCTGATTATGCCCTATTTCCAAGCAGGGCTTACCTTCTAGAAGGTTCACCTGGAGCCCACTGGCCTGCAGCTGCACTGAGTTGAAGCCTTGAGTAGGTGCTATATGCTTTTTGGCTTCTGGACTACATACATAGTGAAGAATAGTGCTTTTTCCAGCCCCGTCCAAACCAAGAACCAAAACTTGGTATTCACAGCAATGTGGCTGCTACGAGAAAAAGAGTTCAGGTTAGTTCAGGCAGTCTTTGGTTAAAGTAATGAAAACCCTTGTAACCCTGGCTCATCCCTGAAAAGATGGCTGTTCTAAAATAGTCTAATGAGTCAATAAGCAAGCAGGAAAAAATAAATTAAGTTGTGGGTAGTATTTAGGATAGTCCTGCTTTTCAAGAGCATAGCTGATCTATAAATTTAGCAAATAGGTCACTCATTCTTGACAGCTTTAGGGTAAAATAATGACAGCCTAGTAGAATTTGGAGGCTGATGGTAGATTAATTTAGGACACCAATCCTGAAAGAAAGGATCATAAAACACATGAGTAAGGCGTAAAAGTAATTACTCCAAACCTCTAATACTAGTTGATTGGTTTTGTACCTCTACATGTGATTATGAAAGATTTGGAGATGGGAGTTTTTAAAAAAAACTGATGCCAATAAAGAATCAGTCACTTTATGTGGAAAAGGGGGAAAATGTCTTCAAAAATCATGCATAAGTGGATTAAAATTAGATAACCCTAGACTTATGAGACATTTGAGCCCAACATTTCTGTTGCTAAGCAAGACAGTTAAGTAAGTTTTGTCCCATTTTACTATCTTCCTTGCCACAGGTGTTAAGTGAATCACTGCAGTTGTTAAGTTAGTAATATTGCTGTTAAGATAATTCGATTTCCCCATTGACTTTGCTTGTCAGGTCTCAAAAGGTGATCACATGACGTCAAAACACTGCAACCATCATAAATACATGCCAGTTGCCAAGTAGCTGAATTTTGATCGTGTGACCATGCTGCAATGGTCCTAAGTGTGAAAAACACTCACTTTTTTCAGTGCTGTTGTAACTGAATAGTCACTAATGGTTTTAAATTGAAGACGACCTGAATTACCTTTGTCTCCTCTATTAAATGCTGCCATTTTGTAGAACCAAGAAGTGTATCTGCCTTGTTGCTGCTTTGCTTTCTAGAACAGCATACTCTCACCCCATAAAGACATGAATGGTTTTTCTGGGCTTTTGGAAATCCCTTAAAAACTGATTCTGTTCCCAATTCTCGGGGTTAATATGCTTGCAATGTGGTGGGGGGGGGGGGGGGGGGGGCTTGTACAGGTTATCATTCTGGTTTTTTTTTTAATCTAGGTTGCATGGGTATGTGTATTTAATTGGTTTTATTATTTTCTGGATTTTGTAAGCTGCCCAGAATCTGAGTGAGTTGTTATATAAAAAAAAAGAATTAAACCACTGATACAGGAGATGTGTTGGCTATTGGTTTCTCCCCAAGTGCAGTTCAAGGAATGGTCATCAATCATAAAGTCCTAAAGGTCTCAGAGCCTAGTAACTGAGACTGCATCTCTTCATTCATTCTGCTTGCCTAATCCAAAGGTCCCCTTCCATCAAAAAAATAGGATAGCAGCAAACAGAGGCATTCTCAGATATGTCTACCCTTCTCTGGAATACAACTCCCTCTTCACTAGAAGTGTAGGAAGTTGTCTTCTGTCTCACAGAATCCAGAGATTGGAGACCTTTGGTGACTTAATAGTCAAGTGGAGATAGCATAAAATATTAAAATGAAAATGTGAGATGAAAGAGTGTTTTATTAACTGTATTTTCTGTATTCTAAAACTCAATGGAGTAAAGCAGTTTATAAATCTTACAGATAATAAATGGATAACTGTTGTCAAACAAAACAAGGAAATAGCCAACACAACCTTCCTACATAGAAATTCCATTCAGTATTTCTTTTCTTGGTGGAAGAATTCATTACAATTTTCCTAAAATTATTACAAACTTATGCGTAAACTCATATATGGAGGTAGCAGTCCTCTACCTAACCCTGTAAAGATAAGTACTACTGGTAGCACCTTGAATTATGCCAGTGAAAACAAACAGGAAGTCAAGACTGGAGCATGAGAAAAATAAAACTCAAATAAAAAATGAGTAAAATAAAAATCCACAAGCAACTTACCGTCCAGGTTTTTTGTAAGTGAAATGTATTTCAAGAGCAGTTCTATGTATACCAAACTAGAAATGAGTGAGACATGGATTACTGCAGTCAGTTCTAGTCATTAGAATGAATTGGACATTTATTCAGCAAAAGTTTGTATCAACATATGCCACCTGGATAAAAGCTCAGGAGCTTTAGTCAGGGAAGAGGCATAGCTCTCACTAGCACTGCTTCCTAGGGAGTCTTTTATGACAATTAGAGAAACAGTGACATTGTGAGGACTTTAATTATCTACACATAAACAGAAGTCAACTAAGGAAGTCTGCCTCTTTTCATCTTTAGCCAAGGCCCTTGTTTTCGGCTCTCTAAATCTGCTGACTTTGCAAAATCTTTGTTACAAAAAGTTCTTTTCCTTCTTGTATTACTTTCATAAGCTGCCACCACCAAAATAGTTTGAGGTGGATGGCTATACAAATTGAATAAATAAAAATGTAAGCAGAGCCCTAATGGAACAGATCAAAAGCTTGTTTTTTTCCAGGAGTTGGATCCCATAGAGGCCCAGCATGTGTCTATAAGAAACCCACAAAAGAGGACAATGTGGAGTAGTGCCACCCTCGTGTTCCTCTTCACCAGGAAACAATATTGAGAGTGGTTATAGGAGGCAATTGACTTTTAGCCTTCATTTATTTGAATCTAATCCTCTTTTTAAATCCCTCCAACCCAGTGGCAATTCTTACATTTTTCTGGTAGCATAGTCCAGAACCCACATAATGAATTGTGTGTATGGCTTCTTTTGTCTAACTTTCTCAACACTCAACATTTAAGGGTGATCCTGGAATGAAGCATTAGAAGTGCAAAATTAGCAGCTGCCCAAAAGGGAGATTAGTTCGCAAGCGCTTAACATCTAAGCAATTAATCACAATTCTTTTGCGTTTCCTTCCATATACAGTATATCACAGAAGTGAGTGAGTACACCTCCACATTTTGTAAATATTTAAGTATATCTTTTCATATGACAACACTGAAGAAATGACATTTGCCTACAATGTAAAGTAGTGAGTATACAGCTTGTATAACGATAAATATGCTGTCCCCTCAAAATAATGCAACACACAGCCATTAATGTCTAAACTGCTGGCAACAAAAGTGAGTACACCCTTTAGTGATAATGTCCAAGTTGGGCCCAAAGTGTCAATATTTTGTATGGCCACCATTATTTTCCAACACTGCCTTAATCCTCTTGGGCATAGAGTTCACCAGAGCTTCACCAGTTGCCACTGGAGTCCTCTTCCACTCCTCCATGACAATGTCAAGGAGCTGGTGGATGTTAGAGACCTTGAGCATCTCCACCTTCCGTTTCAGGATGCCCCACGGATGCTCAATAGGGTTTAGGTCTGGAGATACGCTTGGCCAGTCCATCACCTTTACCCTCAGCTTCTTTGGCAAGGCAGTGGTCGTTTTGGAGGTGCGTTTGGGTCGTTATGTTGGAATACTACCCTGTGGCCCAGTCTCTGAAGGGAAGGGATCATGCTCTGCTTCAGTATGACACAGTACATGTTGGCATTCATGGTTCCCTCAATGAACTGTAGCTCCCCAGTGCTGGCAGCACTCATGGAGCCCTAGACCATGACGTTCCTACTACCATGGTTGACTGTAGACAAGACACACTTGTCTTTGTGCTCCTCACCTGGTTGCCATCACACACGCTTGACACCATCTGAACTAAACAAGTTTATCTTGGTCTCAGAGGACCACAGGACACGATTCCAGAAATTCATGTCCTTAGTCTGCTTGTGTGCAGCAAACCATTTGCGGGCTTTCTTGTGCATCATCTTTAGAAGAGGCTTCCTTCTGGGACGACAGCCCTGCAGACCAATTTGATACAGTGTGTGGCATATGGTCTGAGCACTGACAGGGTGACCTCCCCCCACACTTCAACTTCTGCAGCAATGCTGGCAGCACTCATACGTCTATTTCCCAAAGCCAACCTCTGGATATGACACAGCACGGGCACTCAACTTCTTTGATCGACCATGACAAGGCCTGTTCTGAGTGGAAACTGTCCTGTTAAACTGCTGTATGGTCTCTTGGCAATCTTCTTACAGTCTAGGCCATCTTTATGTAGAGCAACAATTCATGTTTTTCAGATCCTCAGAGTTCATTGCCATGAGGTGCCTTGGCCAACTTCCAGTGACCAGTATGAGAGAGTGAGAGAAATAACACCAAATTTAATACAACTGCTCCCCTTCACACCTGAGTCCTTGTAACACTAATGAATCACATGCACCAGGGAGGGAAAACGGCTACTTGGGCCCAATTATCACTTAGGGGTATATACGCTTTTGTTGCCAGGGGTTTAGGCATTAATGGCTGTGTGTTGCGTTATTTTGAGAGGACAGCACATTTACACTGTTATACAAGCTGTATATTCACTACTTTACATTGTAGCCAAGTGTCATTTCTTCAGTGTTGTCACATGAAAAGATATACTTAAATATTTACAAAATATGAGGGGGTGTACTCCTGTGATATACTGCATTTCTATGGTGCCACATGGGATTTAAGACTGAAGGTTGCCATCCTATATGCAATTATTGGGCTCAAAGTAACTTCTTTGAAGTTTTGTTTCTCTTATATGCATGCCCCTGTAGTTCTACCATAAGTCTTCTCAGAAACTTAGCGAAAAAGGTTTTCTAAAAGAAGTACTGTAGATAAAGAATAATTTTGGATCCAACCTTTCCTACTTCTTTGTAATTTTACAAGATTCCCCCAAAAATGATGCAGGACTTTCTTTTCTAGAAGTCACTTTAATTCATCTCAGCATGTTTATTTCTTATGATGTTTATAATTCTACCACCTTTTATGATGTTTTGCACTTCTTCAATTGGGACAACTTATTTGCTATTTCCTGATCCTTGTTATTGGCCTCCTTTCAATAAATACTGTACTGGCAACTTTCTTAAAAACAGATTATGCAACTTGATCAGATTAGCAGTTGAATTTCTAGGCCACCATTAGTGAATGTTTAATTTGTCCACTACCTCTAGAAGTTGATCCCTATAGGGCTGGGCTGTCTTCTGCCTCAGTCCACTCCCTCACTCTGTTTTGGGGCCTTTATTCAAAAATAACTGGAGAAGTCCCTGCAGCTTTCTCAGAAATATTTCACTGACTTCTTCCTGCCTCTGAGAGGGAGTGTAAGAAACTCAAAGACAGCCACTGATCTTGTGTGTAAAGCAGGAGCAGAACAAATGTTTTCCAATTTCTAGCCTGATGTCTTTAACCACTAGAGCACACTGACTCTCAAGGTCTTCCTTTGGCCCCCATAAAAAGGTATTGAAGTGTACGCCCAACTCAGCAAGTTCTAAGCTCGTCACGGGTGAACATGACAGCAACAACCTTGTTTCCTGAGAACCGGCTAAGCGCTTTCCTAAATTCGCAGCCTTCTCTACTATCCCCATCTTCAAGACGGAGCCGGATGCGGCTACCAGTTCTCTCCGAAAAAGTAACATTTGCTCCGGGCTGTGGAAGAACCGGCCTCGGGGGAGAGAGGCTTCCCTTACCTCTGCTTCCTTTTGCGCGTTGCAAGCTCTTAGCTCCGCTTCCAGCTGCCGCTCCCAGCGACTTCTCCAGCCGACGCAGCTGTCATCAGCGTCTCGGAAGTAGACTTTCCATGCAATGAAAAGGAGCGAACCGAGAGCTGCCACCGCTGCGCCCAGCGCCAGGCTCAGGTGTCGGAAAGCGGCAACAGCAGCAGCCATGGGCGGGTCAGGCAACCGGCCTCCAGCGACCTCCGCTCGGCCAGAAGCTCCTCCGCCTTACTGCCCGGTTTCGCCGGTCCTGTCCTTTATTCGGCCACGCGTCCACCTCCGGCGCAACTGAGCTTAGCGGCTCGCCTTCGAGGAAGTCTCCGGCAGGAGATCCAGGTGACCGGCCGCTCCCGTTCAGTCTAAGGCAGCAGCGGGAGAATTACCCGGCCGGTAGCAACGGCAATAGCAAGCTGTGGGCCGAGTATCGTGACGTCACTCACCAGTTAAAGGGGGTGGACCTTCCACCAAGAGTTCCACGGTTAGGAGTTGGCTTCAAGCTGATATGCTTCACCTGTTGGGTGATAACTTCAAAGCAAGGTGTTCCCTGCTGATTTGAATGATAGGAACAAACTGTCCTGCCTATACCTATTTTTGTTACAATTAGGAGCTATGTTTTCCCCATTGCCAGCATGTGTACACTTTTCTGCTTATATCCCTAGCTTTATCAGTAGTTAAATACTGAACCATTTTGTTCTGTGGCTGGGATTCCAAAAGATTACAGGGAGGAATGTTTTTCCATTCTGCTAAGAAATGTCACTGATGAGGGTGGGGGGGTCATTTGCATGTAAAAGAATCATCTTATCTACTTGATTCAATTTCAGCCTCAGCCTTGATAGCAAACTTTATTGCTTCCCCTTTCTCCCAATTCTACATGTCGGGTATAAAGCCTATCAAATATTTGGATTCAGGATTGCAGTCCTGAACACGCTCATTTGTAGCTTCAATTTATTTCCAAGTAAATACTGTATGAAGTAGGTATGAATTTGGCTACTGCAATATTAGGAATGCTGGCTTAGCAATGTGGTTAGTTCAATGGGTGTAACATGAGATGTTTAACTTTGAAACGACAAGATGCAAAGGAAGTGTAAGGTATTTTTATTACACACAAGTAACCTGAATATCCCGAACAATAAAAGAAACAGGTCTATTTGAACCAGTATTCAGGGTCAGCCCCAGTATAGCACTAGCATTCAGTGTTAACTTTCACCAATTGCATTTAAGCATGATAAAAAGTGCCTTAGATAATATCATTATTCTGCAGAGTTCCCATGATGTTGCTACAGACACAATACAAAGGCTAAGCAGAAGCACATATATGCATATGCAGATTCAACAAATTACTTCACAAGAGAATATATAGATTCTTCTTATATCCATGATGGGTAAAAAAAATATTTGGAAAGAATTCCAGAAACCATGCTCCATATTATTTCTACCTTGATTCATATGCTTTAGATATATCTAGATTTATTTTTTTTCCAAAAGGGAAGTGCTTTGAGTTGAGAGAATAATAGACTCAGGAAATGCTGAAACGTTAAAAAATAGTTGTCTTCATTTACTGAGCTGTAGCAAGATCAGTGTGCTCTAATATGTCCCTGGAAATCTGGGTAGCAGATGCTCTGTTCTGGATCATATGACCACAAGGGCTTAGAAAGGAACTGCTGCCTACCTGCCTTTTCCACATATGTACTGGGGGGATTTTATCATATTTTTTCCCCTCTGTGACCCCCTCAGCCAAAAGCAGCCCATTTTTAAACTTCAGCCTTTTCTTTTGCCACTCTTTTCCTGCCACAACGAATTTAGTCTTATTGGAGAGTTCTCCTGCTGACAGTCAACATATTCTTCCAATCTGCTGAATTGGAAGGAATTAAAAGGGTTGCAGTAAAATGGCCACATTAAAATTCTTCATGACTTGCAAATGTGCCATCACTTCTAATCAGCTTTCTAGTTTCAAACTTTAATGATACTTACTATGCACTTTTGTTATCTCGGCTGAGTAACTACATGCACCAAGTATGCTGTATAAAGGTATGAAATTGACTGCAATTACACAAAACCAAGAACAAAGGAGTATTACATGGGGGTGAGGCTTGAGCTCCTGAAAGAAAGGCAGTAAAGAGAACCATAAACGTTACACTACCCACTATTTCATAGGAAACAAGTTTTACTATTAGTCCCCTCCCCCACTTTTAATTCCTTGACTCCTGGCGACTCAGTCCCTGCATTTTTCTTGGCAAGATTTTCCAACATGATTTGTCATCGTATCCTTCCTAAGGCTGAGAAAGAATGAATGACCCAAGATAACCCCGTTGGCTTTGTGCCTCAGGCAGGACTTGGCACTCAGAATTTCCCTTAATCCCAGCGGCTCGATTTCCCGCTAGCCCCATTCAACTCGATGAAGCTTCATTTCCACCCCCAAATACACACACCTCGGCCACGCCGCAAACATCCCTCCCCCCCCCACGAAACGCGACCCACAGAGTTCTCGCAAGAGTCTCGGCTTAGGCGCTACGGCGCCCCCTACTGGCGCGAGTCTAAGCCCGCGCATTGGTGGGCGGGCTGGATCTGTCAGCTCATTTCTTCCCAGCTTCATTTGCGTCATGGCGGCTCGGGGCCTCGGCGGCTCAGGCCTGCTTGAGCGGAACCTATCGTGCCTTCTTCTTCTTCTTCTTCTGACCGACCTGCGGGCCCGGCAGGCCTGTTAGTACCGGGTGGGGGAAACCAGTGCGGGGCTGCAGGCAGCCCAAGGCAGGTACGTCCTCGAAAGGCGGAGGCGAGCGAGGGGACGGGGACGGGGGGCTGAGCCTGGCGGCCAGCGAAGGGCGAGCTTTGCCGGGGGGGGGGGGGGGGGGGGGGGCCCGCGGCGGGGGGGGCTAAGCCGTGGAAAAGCGGGTTGGGGTGGAGCCGAGGGTTTGCGTGACCCCCGAAAGCTCCCTGCCGGGAAGCGAAACGTGGAGGAGAGGCCGAAGATACCGGGATGAAACCGGAATCAGCCGGCCCCTCCTTCGAGGCGCCGTGGCTGCTGGGCAAACACGCCTCTGCCGTGGCGCCCTTCGGCTCACGGCTTGTTTTCTCGCTGCCGAACATTTTAAAGGGCGGGAGCCTGGTGGCTCCTCTCTCGGCACGCTTAGCATTGGGTGCGTGTTTTCCTTCCGCTCCTCTGCTCGCCCCGGAAAATACGTTATTCCCCCTTTTCTAGCAGCCGCTAAGTCACGTCGCAAGGTGCCTTGTTTTCAAGAGGCAACTGGAGTTTCTTGCTTTTGTTTGAAGACATTTCGCTTCTCATCCCAGAAGCTTCTTCAGCTCTGACTTGGATAGCGGGGAATTGGAAGGATTTATATACTCCTTTGCAGCCAGCCATTTATATGCGCAAGGAATATAAATCCTTCCATTCCCTACCATCTCTACTCAGCGCTGAAGAAACTTCTGGGATGAGAAGCACAAATGCCTTCAAAGAAAAACTAGGAAGTCCAAGCTGCCTCCTGAAAAAAGCATCTTTGGGACAAAGGATGACTGAGAATCTCCACATAGATTTTCTGCTAGGTTTAATAACCTAAACAAAGCTGATTTTTTTAAAAAAAACAAATCAATAAATTGCACAATAATATGAAACGCCACATTTTCTTCCCTGTTTCCAAATGCATCAAGAAGCTGCTGAGCAGAAAGGATCAAAAGGCAGATTAGGCAATAGTACTATAGTTGGTGGAGTGCAGCCCGGGAGTCAAGGGAGATGGCCTTCGAAAGCTCACAACCCTGGATGGCTGATGGCTCCTTTCCAGTGCTGCTTTCCAGGAGCCAGCATTTAGGACATGCTTCTTTGGTTGAAGGGATAATAAACAGCCACTGATTGTAGCAGATTTTATACCAGTTTATATATTTTCACATTACATACATAAGAGGTTAGTGAACAGCATATTGTCTGGATCATTTTATTTATATATAGTTGATTGTAGCAGCTTTTGATACTTGGGTCCCCTGTGAACATGTTGAGCTAGTCCCCTCTTAAAACTGTCTAACTTGGCTTTTACAATAACAGAGGTGAATTCTTCAGTTTAATAATGCAGCATGTTATATATGGATAGTGGTGATTCATTGATTGCTTCTGTGCCGTCAGGTGGTTTTCGATTCCTAGTGACTACCTCAATATACTTTTCACCTTCATTTACTTTCTATGAAAAACAGATTGCAATTGTAAAGCTTTCCAGTTACTGCAGTATTTAAAGTTGTTTTACATTATTAGATGAAGGGTTGCATTAGAATATATATGCGCTTTATCCTCCGGGGCTCACATGTTGCTGCCCTGTTCTTTAAAGAAGCTTTGCCGAAACTTCTGATGGTCATTTTGTTTATATTCCTCTTATTTGCATTTGTCAATTCATAATGGGCTTGGTTATGCAGATTTTTTAAATTGCATGTAAGACAGACAAATTGTTATGAGATCATAAATGACTACTGTAAGGTTTGGATATGTTTTGTACATAATCCAGAAACTTGGTGATGGGTGACTTTATAATCAAATTAAATTCCTTTGCACGTCAGAAAGTAAAATCTGTAACTTTGATCAATAATGATAATGGTAGAATAATAGATGACGGACTGTAGTTATTATTACATATCCAGATATTGCTACTATTACTTTATTAAGTATACCCATATCATTCTTAGAACAGTGCTGTGGGGAATATGACTTGGGTTTCCCACTTAGTAAATTTCTCTTAAAATAGCAATCTATGTATTGAATTATGTGCTTATATTGGTTTGTGAGGTAAATATTGTGTTGGGTTTTAATTATGTGATAATTCAATAAGTAGATTTCTAGTTTAATACCCTTACTTTAAAGATCTTTTACTTTAAAATAAGCGTAAATGATGCTTCATGTATTTGATCATCCTTATTTTTATGGTTGATCAACAACATTTACATTCAGTATTAAAACCATCCTATTGTGCTAAGCTTACTATGTTAACTAAAATTGAAGATGCTGGGACAAATATAAAAACAATGCATCATCATGATGATTGCACATAGGAATAGGATTATGAAATCAACTATGATTAAAGTTATATAAATAGCAATAGCACTTAGACTTACATACCACTTCACAGTGCTTTACAGCCCTCTCTAAGTGGTTTACATAGTCAGCATATTGCCCCCAACAATCTGGGTCCTCATTTTACCGACCTTGGAAAGATGGAAGGCTGGGTCATCCTTATGCCTGGAGTGGTTTGAATTGCCTAATTGCAGGCAACCGGCAGTCAGCAGAAGTAGCCTGCAGTTCTGCAGTTTAACCACTGTGCCGCTATTATACCAAAATAACTAACACAAATAATACTAAAATCTTACGTGTATTTCAAATCTGAATATTAATAGTATGGCTAAAAACTATAATGCAAAAATGTAGGT